TTAAAAAATTGAAAATCAAATGAAATCTGAAGGACCAAACAACACATTGATTTTTGTTTGAGAGGCCTCAGGGACTTCAGTTGCCTGCCATGGGGCTCCAAACTTGGTTGATTTTACACTATTTTCAATGGAGCTTGAATTAGTTCAGTGCACCCATAATGCAGCCTCGATCGTCAACCAAATGGCTGATCATTTTGGCTTCAAGACGCAACAGTGCCACCTAAAAACGCATTTTTTGCGAAAAATTGCCAAGTTTTGCACGCCATTTTGGTTAATTTTTTGGCGGAATGACATCGCACAGCATCTCTTCTGCGACTGTCTGCGTCTTCACGTCATGTGTTCCGTCTGCGTTACAAAAATATGAAAACCAGGATTTTTTTCAAACACAGGTTTCGAGAAAATGGCATTTGAAGTTGGTCTCTTTTGTTAAATTTGGAAAGAATTATTTTGTAAATAAACGAAATCACTTCTTCGTGAAAACGCTAAAATTCAGGTGAGTTTTGTCTATTCGTGAAAATGCGTGCTATTTTGCTATCTGGTTCGTAAATGAATGAGTTACTTTAAGTTTGAATCACACCCACTGCACATGCACTACACAGAATAGTATGATACATTGATCGCCGTTTATATGGGGCCGTGGAACCCGCGAAAGTTAAAGGCGGATTAACTTCAGCGAGTGTCCAAAGGGAGCCTGCAAATCGTGGCGCGTCCGCGTGTATGACAAAGCCACTTACGAACCGGGTGCGGTGTGAGCCAGAATGCAAAATTGTTACATTTGTATACATTTCCAGCATCTACAGAAGACAAATTTGCCTCTTCGTGAAAACGCAAAATGCAGATTAGTTGAAATTTGCCCCATGTAGATAATTGTGATTTGGTTACATGATTTCAGTAGATTTGGTTTAAAACTGACTACACGTGACTGTAGGGATTGCATTACCTACAGTCCTTTTTGCCGAAAAACAGAAATTTGAAACAAATCATGATTCTGGGCCAAAGTATTTCTTGTTGAAAACGACAAACAGAACACTTTTTCTCGACAACATGCAATTTTTTCAAACTTCTCCCTTAGAGGTGCCTTTCCATATATAGCCGCGTCAACACTTGCGCCAAGCGTTGCGGCCGAACGCAACACACACGTGTGTTATCTTAATGGAGTCGATTTGGTGTCCGAAAAAGTGAAACGCATCATGTACGCAACGCACCCAAAAAACGTACATAATAATGGATGCGTTCGATTAGCTTACACGCGTTAAGTCAACTTACACGAGAGCGTTCGTTTTTCATCACGTGATCTGTGTGCCTGTCCTGGTGTCAGCCACCACTACTCCAGCAGGTGAGTGGGTCTCTGGAGGCTGCCCGAGTGTAATGACGTCACGGATGGACTGTTCGAGTATGGACATCATGGAACGTGGCGGGGACTTGACCTTTTGCCATTATGCCTTGGTGAATACGCTGCAGCGTTCAATTGGCCTCATTTCGAGGCTTCCCTTGCGTGTAACACTGGTGTATTCAGGGAAGCTAATCGAACGCACCCATGGAAAGGCGGCTTAACTCGCAAACACGTCTTGAATTTCGAAGGTGGTTGTGTGTCTAAATTTCAGCTTAAATGGAAATAGTCATAATTGCCTATAGACCTAACATGCCTTTAAAAGAGATTAACGTATCGCTCAAAAACCGTCGTCAGAGACAATATTACGAAAACAAACTCACAAGATGAATATGAAAGGGCTGCGTAGCATCGTGATCGGAATCTTGACAAAAATATAATCTAATCAGTGCTGTGAATTATCTTATTGCTGAGCTTTCGGTAACTGGGTACCTTCGTCAGGACAAGGAGATTCAGTTCTGAATGAACGCAGAAAAGCCCTTTCATATTTTGCAGAAAAATCCACGCAGCCCTTTCATATTTTGCAGAAAAATCCACGTTCATTCCACCTGGATGCAGCTTACTAAGTTCGAAGATGACGCACTGCTCCAGTTCCTTACGCTGTACTTCGGATGACGCTTTCAGGCGCTTACGTTACTGTATGCGGCGGCGCGCAAAAGTGCTGCCGGACGCCCTGATACTGGGTCAGCATTTCCTCCTCCATGTGGCCAACAAACAGACATGCATGACTTGGTCCTATCCGTGTGCCCATAGCCACACCACTGGTCTGAATGTAGCGCTCACCGTTGAACGCGAACTAAGTGTTGTTCAGCCAGACGGAGCAGTGTGCTGGTAGGGGGATCGAGATGTCCGGCCGTGTACCGACGATACATCGATGATATTGTTGGTGCTTTCACCGGTACGTGTGATGGCGTTGAGAATTTCTTAACGTTTGCGGATGCTTTTCACCCAACACTGCGCTACACATCTGATGTGTCGCAACACTCTGTTACCTTCCTCGACGTGCGCGTCTAGATCTGTGCGCGGAAACTTGGCAAAACCGTACATTACAAACCCACAGATTCTCACATCTACCTGCAGTACCAATCATCTTAAAATGCAAGAACTCCATTCCTTACTCCCAGTTTTTCCGACTGCGTAGGATTTGTAGTAGCGATGCGGAGTTCTCTGTGCGTGGGAAGGAAATGCTATAGGTTTCTTTCATCAGCGCGGTTACCCTCCGGCTATCACAGACGCTGCATTCAACGCCGTATCTTCAATCCCGTGCAAAACGGCTCTGAAA